GTCCAAAGGAACCAAATTTGGGCATCTGGAAGTCCGAATTTGGAATTTGTTTTATTATCTATTTCATATTTTGTAAAACTTTAACAAATTTTTTATTAACAAATTCAACAATTTAAAAGCGAGCAATGACAACACTATATGAAAATAAAAAAAAAATTCTCTCTAGTATGCAAGACTGTGTATCGGAAATTCTAAAGTTATGCTCAATTTAAAATTATTTGCAATGTTGCCGTTGAACTGAATTTTATGGTTTAAGTGCGAAGAACATGGTATTTAATAAAGGTAACACACAAAACATTAAAAAAATACCCCTTCGGGTGTAACATAAAATCTGAAGGCTTTCAGATTTATATATATATATATATATATATTTATTCTTTCTTATTCTTTTTATTGTTCATGCATAGACCAGTTTTTGTATTTATATGTTGTTAAATAGAAAGTAAAAGAAATTGAAACAAATATTACACAAGCTGAACATTTTTCAGTTCATATGTGTGTTCAATGCATACGGCACTGCTGTAATTTGTAATGAAAGTTGAATTTTATTTAAACACACTATTGCCTGTAGTAGTAGGGAACAGCACTGTGCATAAGATAATTTTTGGAGTAATAAAAGGATCAAACAACAAACTAAAGAATGAAAGTTAAGGTATGTAATTAAAGTTTCATCCTCTAAAATGTATTTCTTAGCATGCAAAGGTCAGCTATTAATGAAGTAATAATCTAATTTATTAGTGCATTTTTAGTCTGACTGAGAAGTATAAATAATAATTTTGTTCCTTAGCCAAACAGAACAAATTTATATTTATATAATTATTTAAACAAAACTACTTATAAATTTCACTAAGACCCCATATACATATGGAGTCAGAAAACACGTTAATAATTATATCGCTTATAAACGTAGAAAGCTGAAGTTAAACTCTGATTTGATTAAAACCATAGGTGACCAGACAAAAGCCCACTGGACGAAAGCGCACACGACAAAAGCCCACAGAAAAGACCAAACTGCGATAATTGCCCACACGACTAATACCCACACTGATGAAAGCGCACATTGATAAAAGCCCATATTGATAAAAGCCCACATAGATATAAGCGCACGTTGATAAAAGCCCACACTGACAAAAACCCACACCGATATATATGCTGCATTAAAATTAATATTATTTCCCTTTTTTCTTCAGTTTCACAAAGCAGATTCATGAATAAAGATAAAATAAAAATTAAATTAAATTAATAACAAATAATTGAACAATGAATTTAAATAGCAGAACATATTTAATTTTGGGCTCCGGCTGAATTAAAATACTATATGTATATAGAACAGAGTCAATCAAAATAATACAATTAAAACACATACATGTATGTGTAACTTTGTGTAATTCCTCTACTTAATTTATTACCTTGAAATGTTAAGCTTATTAGTTGTGCTGATACTTTAGCAACTCAATATTTTGTTGATTGAGTTGTTAAAATATCAATACAACAATTTAAGTACTGTTGTATGATTGTACTGATACTTTAGCAACTCATTCGTCAATACTGAGTAGCTAAAGTATGAGTACATCAATACAATAATATTTAAATGTAAGCAATAAGCATAAATATGCAGAATGAAGTAAGCTTTGTAAACAATTTTATAGTGCTAACTTAATTTTGATAGTAAACACTGATGTGAACAGATCATGTGTGCAAACACGTCCTAAAAGAATCATCTACATCACGCCTTTATCTACTGCAATATATAATGTCCTGAAACATCATCTTCATCACGCCTTTATCGTCTGCAATATGTAATGTCCTGAAACATGATGTCTGTACCCATTACAATAAATAATGCCATAAAACACACACCTGTACAACTATGTATCGCTATATATATCATGTAATGTAATGCATTTTACTTGATCTAATTTAACCCCCGGTGGTGGCAGAACTTGCAGTGTTGGCTGGAGTCATGACTCAAAGACGTGGGATGGTTGTTGTTTTTCTAGTTAGTGTGTAGGGCTAATGGCTACTTACTTCAGATAAATATTAGCTGGCCCCTTCACTTCTACGTAACAAAAACACCACAAGCAGTGGTCTATATGTTAAGCATAAGGTGTACTCTTGTAAATACTAGTTCTCTTGGATAAAAGGTTTCAACTTTTATCCTTATTCTGTTGTTACTGAACATCAAGTTGATTAGTGAATTTGGTTTGGTGTATGTAAGCACGGCAAAGCTTTGAGGGCTATATGCCTGAGAAGAGGAATGCCTTCGTGGAAGACTTTCTAAGAGAAACTGGCTCGTATATATGTTACACATGGGAAAACCCATGAAAATTTCCATACAACCAGCCCCTTTGCAGGACTCGTACCTCAGACAGAAGTACCAGTGTTTAGTGATTAACTATTTTGATGGTAATATGGCTAAGATTATGCTATTTTTAAGGTAATATGGTCGTCAATAGATATAATTCACTATGATTATTTTCTGATAGATAATGGAATTAATTTAATCTAATGCCAATTAGAAAATGGCTATTTACAATAGGGAGATTTAAAAGCACTATAACTGTAATTAAGAGCACTATAATTTTTCTTTCACAATCAACTGTTATGTAAGATTAGCTGCTTTCTGTGTATTTTTCATGTTATATAACTGATATCCATATGTCTTGAACAAATATACAGCAAATGCAAGACAAATTATTAAAAAATTACAATTTGAAACATTAATACTAATTTTCTATTATTATACATAATACTATTAATGAATGATGAATTTCTATAATATGTATACTTAGAATCTAAATACGATGCACTTGAATCTGATGACTCTATAAATATATATTTATGTAGTTACAAAATATTATTAGATGTTATTTATACGCATAGTTCTTTGTAATGTTATTTATGTGCATAGTTCTTTGTAGTCTTCACAATCTCTAATAAATACAGTCAAAAGTCGTTAATCCGGAATTGTCGGGACTTCGGCGATTCCGCATTATTGATTTTTCCAGATTATAGATCATCAGTTTAAATCTTGTAAGATGGCATGCAGAAATTCTAAAATTAAAAATATGAAACCATAATTTATGAAATAAAGAACAATTATGATCTAAAGGGTATCAAAATTTACCAAAAAAAAAAGTTTAATATTTATTTGTTTACTTTATTAAACATTTCTTTCAATGTAAGTTGTTTAAGTTGCTTCGTTTTATGTGACAATATTTTCTCTTTAATTCTATAAACAGACATAATTTCTTCTTCAGTTACCAAGTTCCGCTGTTCAAGTACCGTAACTGCCATGCCGAGCTCCAGCATTGGAAATTCTATTTGACATAATCGAAAGTTCAAGTTTACTTTTATAAAATTGCTCTTACAGTCTGCAAAAAATAATAAGTCGGATCCAATTCGAAAATTAAGGAACAACGCAATCATCAACATTAATTGAAATAGATAATTAGATAATTTGAGCTTATACGTCCATTATACATAAAACGCGCACGCGAAAACGTATTCTGCACTTGCGCACACTCATATGCGCAGTCGTAAAAGGTCTTACGCGCACGCGTAAACGCCTATGCGCATGTGTCAATGCGGCGCATGCGCAGAAAGTTTTTAGCTTTGAGGTCCGGATCATTCCGGATTATGGGTGTCCGAATTAACGACGTTTGACTGTACTACATATTTATTAGTATAATTTGAGATGATTGTACTTAAATTTGTAGATATGTGGACTTCTAAGAGTTGTTCCATTCCCGCCCCCAAAAAAATAAATAAATAAATGAAATGAAAATGAAAAACACTATTCCAAATTGTTATAGTTGAAATATTAAGACATTTGGAATTTATTTTCTGACAGGGTGTCAGCTGACAGTTTTAATCAATCCAGAAATCTAAAAGAAGATATCTCTAGAAAATCGCCAAATTATAATTGTTACATTCAAAAAAGTTTTCAATGAGAAATATGTTTAAACTTTGATAATAAGCTCAGTCTAAAGTAAAGATTAAAATATCTCTCTGCCAAGTTTTCATTGTGCTTAACTGTTTTAATATTCCTAAACTAAAAAGGAAGTAAAGAAAAAATTGAAAAGAAATAAAATAAAATTCAAGTGTTTTAATTAAAAAGTTAATAGTTTTAATAATGAAACATAATTATATTTAATATCAGCCATATTACCTTAAAAATAGCATGTGAGAAACTCTACAATGATATTTTTAAGTTTCACATACACATACCAAAGTTTAATAAGTAAATAAATAATAAAATACAATTTCAGATTTATCATCGAAACATTATAGCTAATCACTTAATCACAGAGTAGAAAGTTTGCTTTCAACCTAATAAATTAAACAAATAAAGTAGTGATAAAATATACAAACAGACATATATATGAGACATTAAAATTCAGATTTAAATACTTCATCTATTATAATTAAAATTATAAATACATAGTTTAGTAATAAAAAACCATAAGTCCCTCTTGATTATGTGAGCTTTTATCAGTGTGGGCTTTTATCAATGTGTGCTTTCATCGCTGTGTGTATTTGTCGCATGGGCAATTATCATAGTGGGCTTTTCTTTGTGGGCTTTTGTCACGTGTGCTTTCGTCCAGTGGGCTTTTGTCTGGCAACCAAACCATATTACATGGAGAATGCTGTAAGCATTAACAAAGATACAGCAAAGAAGTTAAAAAAAATTTCCTGACAGAATTCACAGCATGATAAATGAAAAAGAAAGTAGTAAATATACAGTAATACAGGAACTAATGAAACTCTAAAACTGTGAAACAATACATAAATTAAATGAAGGTAATTTATACCAGACCTGGGGGGGGGATTACATAGATTGCATTAAAGATAATTACTGGAATTGATATGAATTAGGCAAACAATAAAAAATTATGAAGTAAAAATATTTATAACATACACAACCCAATAAACTTCTTATTATTTGAGTAAATATTTTAACATACAGCAATAAAGAAAAAATAATTAACTTTTCTTACCTAGTTTATTAGTGTCTGTTAAACGAACTTCTATGCGTGGAATTCCCAGGACCTAAGCATTCCAAAATGTAATATGTCAAATTTGGACTAAATAGCACATCATTGAAAAGACAATCTGGCCCTATATCACATGTGTAGCATTTTGTACTGTTTTGTGTTTCTTTGACACTAAAGAGATGTCTTTCGCCTGGTTTCCCTTCAAGAGTTGTTATGTAGAATCTTGTAAATAAAGAATTAAAAATTACAATTTAAGCAAATTCACATATATTGAAATAAATTTATTTTACACTGATATGCTGAAAATCTTTTAGGAAGAAAGAAATTTTCTGCATGTGTTTGTATTTTGTACTATAATTCTATAACTTTGAATTTTATTGTTTCTTGAAAACTGTAAAGAGTTTACTTAATAAAAAAACTGAATGACATAAAATTTATTAATAAGTAAACTCTTTACAACTTTGAAAAACTATAAAATTCAAAGTTACATAATTCTATAACAAAATGAAAACACATACAGGAATTTCTTTCTTCCTAAAAGATTTTCAGCATATCAATGTAAAATAAATAAAAATAATTTTAATACTGTAAAGCAAGGATGTCAAACTCGCGGCCCACAACAAATATTTGTGCGGCCCGGCCAATATATCGGCAAATAATAATATATAATAATAAAATAACATATCGACGAAGAAAAAAATGAAATGTTTACTGCTAAGTAATTAACGATAATTTATTCAGTGTTGTTAGATTACTCACAGCGAGCTGACACACCACACTACTTAAATTACAAATGCGTGTGAGTAGCTTGCGTTCAGCTACCTTCGGCTTTTGGGGGACACGTGCACTCAGAACTTGTACGCATCCCCCCCGATAGCCGAATGTGGCCGAACTCATGGTCTCAGTTTTCCAATCATAGTTTTGTACGATATATTGGTGCATGCATGTGCATGCACTTTGCTTTATTATTAATTATTACTTAATTCATATTGTTACGGATTTCATAGTTATTTATTTAGTTAGTTTTTTTTTATTTAGAATTGTAATTAGATTTGCTTCATGTTGCCTTAGCAACGCAGACGATTTTTGAAAAGACAGCTGCGTTGGAAGGTTAAAAATAGAACAGCGCGTGCATTTAATACCTAATAAATAAATATCTCGTAATTGCTGTTGCCATCCACAAAAATCCAGATATTTATAGATGTTTCCAGTATATTCGAGAAATTAATTATAAAGCTTATAAAAGCCGAGAACAAACAACTCATCTCAGTAGTAGCTGTAGTTCTAGCGAACTGTTTGTTTACTTAATGCTGTGATTGATTTGTAGCGATTTCGCTGTGAGATAGAATTAGTTTCTCTGTTTTGAATTGATTTTTGCTAAACGTTTGACATTTTGTGATATTGTTAGAATATTTTTGAAGAAATATTTCAGCATTTTGATTTATCTCTTGTGGAAAGAATAAATTTTTTTTTTAACTTTTTTAACGTTAACCGTGTTTATTCCAGCCCTTTGTATTCAGTATGTCTATATCAAAACCAAGTGGTAGTAAAATTAAACGAAAAATCGCTGACGAACATAGAATATTCCAAGTAAAATGGGAATTAGAATATTTTTGCTGTGAAATAAAAGATAAAATAATCTGCTTGATATGTAATAATACTATTAATGTACCAAAGTTATATAATATTAAACGTCATTACGAACAACACAAATCGAAATATAACAATTACGAAGGATTAATGAGAGAAGAAAAGTTGAAAGAGCTCAAGTTAGGAGTGAAAACGCAACAGTCCATGTTTAGTAAAGTATTGCAAGAAAGTGAAGCGGCGGTACATGCAAGCTACGTCTTGTCCGAGTTGATAGCTAAACATTCGAAGCCTTTTACTGACGGTGATTTCATCAAGGAATGCCTAATGAAAGCTGGAGAAATTGTTTGTCCTGGAAATGTGAAGGCTTTTCAATCAATCAATTTCATTGTCTCGAAATACAGTTGCGGAAAGAGTTACTGATTTAGCCGCGAATTTAAGTGATCAGATCAAAGCAAAATCATCTAGTTTCGAAAGTTTCTCCATTGCCTGTGACGAGAGCACGGACATTAGTGGCAAAGCTCAATTAGCAGTGTTTTTTCTTCTTCGTTCTTGTGACAAGAATTTTTAAACATTTTTGAGGAATTACTGGAACTAATACCGATACCTGGTACTACCACAGGAGAAGATATATTTACTTGTGTTTTTTGGACTTCTGCAGAAAGACAATCTACCTTTGGCAAAATTAAATTCTGTAGCTACAGATGGCGCTCCATCAATGACCGGGAAAAACAAGGGCTTCGTAGCATTACTAAGAAAAAAACTTAGTGAAATTCACGGTTCAAACATTCATCATATGCATTGTATTATACATCAAGAAGTTCTATGCACGAAAGTAATAAATATGGAGAATGTTTTGTCATATATAAAAAAAGTTATAAATTTTATAAGATCTCGAGGTGTAAATCAGCGTCAATTCTGCACGTCACTGCTTTCTTAAGTGAGTTGGATAGTGAATATTCGGGTTTGTCCTACTATACCGAGGTACGTTGGTTATCTTGCTCCAAGATTCTCAAACAATTCTGGGATTTGAAAGAAGAAATATGTCAGTTTTTAAAAACGAAAAATCAAGACGTAAGTTTGTTTTACGATCCAATATGGATACAAGATTTATCTTTCTTGGTTGATATAACCAACACTTAACCGATTTAAATTTATCGTTACAAGGAAAAATTCATATCATTACGAACATGTTTGACATAATTAAAGCATTCAAATGTCAACTAGTTCTTTGGGAAAAACAACTTAAAAATGAAGATTTGACGCACTTCCCGACGTGCAGCATGAACAAATCAAGTTTAGATGATACTTGTTCGTATCAAAAATACGCAGAAAAAATTGCAAATTTAACAACTGAATTTGAAACGAGGTTTAATGATTTTAGTTCCCTCGAAGACAATTTTTTTTTTTTTTTTTTTTTTTTTTTTTGTTTTCTTTGATTTTCTCAATAAGTATTGACTCAGTACCCAGCCATATGCAAATGGAGGTGATCGAGATTCAATGCAACTCAAATTTGAAAGCAAAATTCATTGAAGTGGGTGTGCCTGAATTTTACAAATATTTACAAGCCAGGTTTGAAAATACTCGAAAATTCGCATATGAAATTATTTCCATGTTTGTTAGCACTTATTGGTGCGAGCAGTTATTTTCAGTCATGAAAGGTAATAAGTCTCCTATTAGAAACCGTATTAATGATGCTCAACTTGGGTTAGCATTGAAAGTTATCACTGCAAACAAAATTTCTCCCGAAATAGGAAAGATAATAGCAGAGAAGAGATGTCAAGTATCAGGACGTAAAAAATTAAATTTTTTTTGTTCTTTTCTAATAAATAAATATATATATACCTTTATTATTGTATTATTTGAAATAAATCTACGTTTTTATGAATATTGATTTTTTTTTTGCAGCCCGCCTAAAGTTAAACCTTGTTTGTTTGGCCAAAGTGTACCTATGAGTTTGACATCCCTGCTGTAAAGGGAAAAAATCAGCTTATTCAATTATGTTTCTAACTGAAGTTAAAGAAAAGGTTTATCTTAAATTTGGTTTTTCCATTTTGAGGCTGCTTGAGTTCAAATATGTACATGAAAATCTGGTTATTTCTTAAATTGTGCATGCCAATAATCATTAAATTTTCTTCTTTTTAAATAAATTGTTCAAAGATTTTTAATTGCATTTATACTACTTAATGTTTTTAATGCCTGTCATATATTTATAAGTATGAACAGGCAAAGCCTGGTATAAGAATCCTATCTCACAATAAATGAACCTTTTTTTTTTTTTTTTTTAACTCTAATTTTTTTAACTCCTCAAGTTCCACGAAGTATACCAAGAGGCTTACACAAGTAAGTTACAGCACTATCAAAATAAATAAATGTAAAATAGCACTGCAAATGGGTAAAAATTAATAATAAATAAATAAACAAATAATAAATTAATTTAAAAATAAGTAAAGGAAAAAAATAAAATAAATAGAACTCAATATCTATATTGAGGATAAAATTTCAAAAAGCAGACACTGTCTCTTTAGGCCGAAAAAGTTCAGAAAAATTTGGTGGCTAAGATACAGACAGGTGTGTCAAAGTTGCCAGAAATATCTTCTGCTATACATTACAAATGCACTCAAGAAGAATATGCTTAACATGTTAACTGCTGCTACCGCAGCTGCACAAAGCACTTAAGGCAAGTCCGGATCGCTTTAAATAGCTTTTAAAATCACCATGTCCAGTAAAAAATTCAGTTAATTTAAAATCTGTTGAAAAAAAACAGCTTCCCCCACTGTGAAAAATCGTAGCAAAAATCTTTTGGTCCACTGTGCTTTTGGTGAGGCCAGATATTCTCTGTTCCAAATGTAGATAGCATCATTTCTATAAAAGCACTTCCAATGAGAAACAGGAACATGGAGACTTAACGAGAGCCAGCTTTGTCAGAGCATCAACTCTCTTCATTTTTAAATTTCCCCATTGTCTATGAACATAAGCAAAATGAACGTCAACATCAAGATCTTGCAAGGTTTTTATACAGCAAGAATACCTGAATTTATACAGCAAGTTTCTCTGAAACACTAATTTTCTATAATAACTGAAGCAAAGAAAGAGAATCAATACACATTAAAATGCACATTGATCTCAAACCACTCCACAAATTTTGAATCCATTTCACAGCAAGGTTTAAGCGTAGCAACTCAACCTGAAAAACAGAACACTTATCATTAATTCTGGTGTTTGAAATGTCTTTATTGTTTATCTTCATAAATAACAGAAGCAAGACCAACCTTATCATTCATCTTACTTCCATCTGTAAAACAAATTAATTTGTGCTCTTCAAGAACAGAATCGGAATAGCCAACAACTGGTGTGGGATTCCTGTTAAAAGGATGCAGCAAAGAAGAAACTGGAAGATTGGCATCAAGAAAATTTGATGAGGATTGCCTGTAAATGCTTTCTTTCATCGCTGTAATGCTGAAAATTTCAATGTCTATGCACAGAATGCCAGCGACAGTAAAAAGTGTCTTGTAACTAATAGTCATGTAGCAATGAAAATTTTCCTAAACGAAATCGTCTTTGAATTTTTCTTAGAAGCATGCAGTTTACTTTTTTTCAGCAAAAAACCACTCCAAAGCCTTAGGTCAGCATAATTTTCTCCCTTACACAAGTTAGCTATGAATAATAATTTTTTAATTTAGACTTTTCACCATAAGTATAATATATAATGTTTTACAAAAAATTAATACTAGTCATCTAATCATAATAAACTAAACGGATTCTCATTAATTTGAACTCATGAAAATTACCAAAACAGTTTGAACCACCAGGAATTCAGATTATTAAAAGCATTTTTGGGCATCTTTCCCTCTTTAATTAAGATTTTCAGAACTTCAGCTTTCATTCATATTAATTAATATTATGAATTAGTGAGTTCTGAATTAACCCGAACTGTTTTTAATTATTAAATATTTTTATTAATTATAGTTTAAAAATACTAAACTGAATTACTTACACAGTTTTCTTATCCATGCTATGGGCTAAAATACGAACAATATCATATTTTCCACTAGTCAGAAATGTTTTTGATCCTGTCTAGAGAATACAAAAACATATTTTTTAAGTTCAAGAAATAAGTAATAATAAATTTAAAAAAAGAACAGAAAGCTTTACATTAACACATATTAAAAATATTTCATGATAAAATCATAAAAAGTACCCTAAAATATCTTTACATGATATTGTTATACCTTGATGTCCACAGAAGCAACATGTCTAAAGCGTCCAGCACTACCTTCTGGTGGACCAGGCAGTCGCAGGAAGTAATTCTTTTCATCAGAGGAAAATATAGATTTTGTATTTAATTCAACCCAACCACTTCCAGCTGTGTCAACTTGAAAGTTCTGTAAAAAAAAAAAAAAAAAAAGGAACCCATATTTCTTTCAGATACAATATTACTTAGCATTAATTAGAAACACCATTATTAATCTTTTATGATATGTGGATTCTTCTTGAAACTATTACTAAATTAATTACATACCTTCATAAAAACATTTTGGCATTTTTAACCACAAAATAAAACTGGGTTAGTAACAGAAATATTGTAAAAGTATACATAAAATATATGATTTTATTAATCAACAAGGTGCAGCTTTTAGAGCAACATGTTAAGAGTTACTCCTATTATACTTTACAGTCAAAAGTCTTTAATCCGGACTCGTCGGGACTTCGGCGATTCCGGATTATCGATTTTTCCGGATTATAGATCATCAGTTTAAATCTGGTAAGATGGCATGCAGAAATTATAAAATTAAAAATATGAAATCGTAATTTATAAAATAATGAGCAATTATGATCTAAAGGGTATCGAAATTTACAAAAAAAAAAAGAAGCTTAATATTTATTTGTTTATTTGTTTACTTTATTAAACATTTCTTTCAACGCGCGCATGCGTAAAGCATACCTTACGCATAGCCGAAATTAGAAATTTGCAACCAGAAAACTATTTGATTTGTATTCGTGATATTTATAACGACGAGGAATTTGATTTAAATCATATCAAAGACGGAGTACATCGAGATTAAATACTACATTTAGTAAGGAATTATAAGCTGAATAAAATAAAAACATCTGCCCTAAAGATAACGATAGTGCTGACAGATCAACTTCCAGTTCATTGCCGGCGCCGCGACGTCCCCCCCCCCCCCGCGCAGAGCAGAGTGAAATTGACAAACAGATTTCGGAACCGTTAGATAAACAAAGGACATGCCTTTATCCATTTTTTATAGCAATTCGTTTTTTGTTTGATGGACATCGAAGCATACTTTCGTTTTCTAGATCCTTTGGGAGCTCCAGCATCGGAAATTCTATTTGACATAATCGAAAGTTCAAGCTTACTTTTATAAAATTGCTCTTACAGTCTGCAAAAAATAATAAGGCGGATCTAATTCGAAGATTAAGGTACAACGCAATCATCAACATTAACTGAATTAGATAATTTTAGCTTATACCGTCCGTTTTACATTAAACGCGCACGCGAAAACGTATTTTTCGCTTGCGCAGACACATATGCGCAGTAGTAAATGTCTTGCGCGCACGCGCAAAACGCCTATGCGCATGCGTCAACGCGGCGCATGCGCAAAAAGATTTTAGCTTTGAGGTCCGGATTATAGATCATTCCGGATTATGGGTGTCCGAATTAACGACTTTTGACTGTATTACTTTGCTTATTTTACATTTCGAATCTCAAGTCATGCTGGTATTGGAAATGAGGCAAGCTGCACTATCATCTTGTAGTTCTTTTAGATCAAGAGAATGCCACTGGCACTATCATTCTGTAATTCAATGTCTGTGATTGAAAAACTAATATTCTATGGAGCACCAGTATGGGGTCATCCCATGACAGCAAGGAAGAAGACTTCTAGCTTCGATTCAACACTCCTTCCTCTTACAAACAGCCAAAAGCATACAGGACTACCTCAAAGGTACTAAGCTGCTCTGCTCTGTACTAAGAGGAATCCCACCTCTTCACCTGAAAGCAGAAGATACAGATATAGCATGTGCATGTGCATATATTTCCAACAGTGTACACAGATGAGTCAAAGATAAAAAAGGAAGTAAAATGTGCATTCATAGCACTCCTTTCAGGAGATACAACATAATGGAAAGAGCATCTGAGAAGCAACAACAGTGCTTTTCAAGCTGAGTTTTATCCATAAAACCCATTGAAGGATTGTAAAAAATATTACCATCTACAGTGCAAGACAGGTGGCAGGAAAAGCCACTAATGATGTAAAAAACAAATCATAAATAGTGCAAGAAATCTATGATATCCCAGAACAACAGGACAAAAACAGTGCATGGAAGACAGGTCCAAAATGAAAGGGCAGATGTGCTTCAGAAAAATTACATCAAAGAAATTGCATGTTGAATGGGAAAATGCAAAAGTAGGCAGAAAGCTTTCAACTTCTTTAAAATTCTCACCTATGGTTTCAGTCTCTGATAACTTCTTTATTAACATCTTTTTATCCAGCTATGGTCCATTCCCCATATACTAATTTGTGCAAAATCTAAATAATTGATGAGAAAAAGGGAGACTCTGAGCTTTTTATTTTCAAGTGCCAGCTCACAAATGAGCTTATACTGCATGTCAAGCACAAATTTCACCTGATTTTAAATGTCTAATTTCCTCAATTATGATAAAAAATTTCCATTAAGAGACTTTTCTCATATAGTAGAAGAGATAGACCAAGACAATATTATGTCTGCGTAAATCTTATATAGTCCACAACTTACATTAATAATGTAAGATTTCAGAAATGATTCAGCTGTCTGAAACATCTTAAAAATAAAAGGAAATGTTCAAACAAGATAATTGCCTTGAGAATATGACAATGCATCAGGAAATAGACAAAATATTTATTCATCAGAAGATGCTTAAAAAATTCAGGTTTTAGGTACCTGATATAGCTATTACATTTCTGATAAGATAAGATAAGTAAGCCTATCATACCCAATTTACCATTCTACTCTTATCGATAATCATAATTTATAAAATAATGTTGTTTGGCATGTCATTAGCAAAAGCCCCCCCCCCCCCCCGAAAAAAAAAAAAACCCACAATCACATAAAAAAGGATAACTTAGTGACACTTTCAAATGTATCTAATAACCTGGTACACTTTAGTTTAATTAGAAATGTGGTACATTAAATTTTTTGTAAAACTGCCAAGACCATGGCAAAAAAGTGCAAAATACTTTATAAAAGTGCAATTAAGGTACCATAATATTAGGAATCCTCAGTTGCTTTGCATACTATTCTACTGAAATTAACAGGTATTTAACATATAAAAATTAAGCAAGCCAACATATCTTGCAACAGCAATGCCACTACTGGCCATTAACATTTACCTAAAACTATAATGTTGTAACACTGAAACATTTACCAAAATGGTATACGGAAGTGTAACTTAGATACGTTATCTGTAAATTTTTTAATTTGTCTAATTAAGAAGATAACATGCTTAATTCATGGCAACTGTTATTATGGCAACATTATGAAAATGGTTATACGAATAATATTATTATGGAAATTTAGTTTCTGTTTAATTTAAGAATTACGATGAGTGTTAAAAGAAGATGCATATTTTTGTATACTCACTTGCTACAAACATGTAAAATATGATTATTAACCCTTTCGGTCCTAATGGGCACATACATTTCAGAGATTAGATTTCATTCCCTGTTGGGTAAACAAAACCCACTTTTAAATGGGCTATTACATTTGCAGTGTTTTTAAGGAATTAGGGAACAAATACATGACTAAAGAAACCTGGTTTATTTGCCAAAGTTGTCAGGTTTCAATTTGCAAAGACTACTTTACACCATATCATGCTTATCTTGTCATGCAAGATTAAAATATTTGGTACATTTCATTTAAATCTATTATTTATTCACATGCACTGTAAAGTTATTATTACAATATCCTAGACGATTGGTACAAATAGTCCTAGTTGACAATAGAATTGAGTCATACTGTCCCAGCAGATTTTCATGAAACGGAAAAAAGTCCAAAACTTTAAACTCATATCATGCTTCTTTTAATATGTCAACATTAAATTAAACTACTTTTCATAGTTAAATTTCAATCATGCAAAAGTTCGGTCGAAAGAGTTAACATATAGAGAACAACTACATCCATGAGATATCATTTTGAAACAGTAATTTATACCACAAGACAGTACACTGAATAATAATGAGCTCATTGGCCCTAATGTTGTTATTTTAATTATTTAAAAAATAAGCTAAGTTCATTACTATTTATATAAATCAGTTTAAATTATATCACTATGTTGCATAAAAATGATAAATTCATGTTAAAAGAGATTGTACAATACGACATACATTGTAATCCAATGAAATATATATAAAAGCATGGCACAGCTATTTTCCATATTTATTAAGAATGCTATACACCAAGGATGTCAAATTTGCGGCCCACTACAAATATTTTTGCGGCCCGGCCAATATATCGGCAAATAATAATATATAATAATAAAATAACATATCAACGAAGAAAAAAATGAAATGTTTACTGCTAAGTTTAATCCTAAGTAATTAACAATAATTTATTCAGTGTTGTTGGATTACTCACAGCGAGCTGACACACACACTACTTAAATTACAAATGCGTGTGAGTAGCTTGCATTCAGCTACCTTCGGCTTTTGGGGTACACGTGCACTCAGAACTAGTACGCATCCCCCGATAGCCGAATGTGGCCGAACTCATAGTCTCAGTTTTCAAATCATAGTTTTGTACGATATATTGGTGCATGCATGTGCATGCACTTTGCTTTATTATTAATTATTACTGAATTCATATTGTTACGGATTTCATAGTTCTTTATTTATTTAGTTTTTTTATTTAGAATTGTAATTAGATTTGCTTCATGTTGCCTTAGCAACGCAGACGATTTTTGAAAATACAGCTGCGTTGGAAGGTTAAAAATAGAACAGTGCGTGCATTTAATATCTAATAAATAAATATCTCGTAATTGCTGTTGCCATCCACAAAAATCCAGATATTTATAGATGTTTCCAGTATATTCGAGAAATTAATTATAAAGCTTATAAAAGCCGAGAACAAACAACTCATCTCAGTAGTAGTTGTAGTTCTAGCGAACTGTTTGTTTAATTAATGCTGTGATTGATTTGTAGCCATTTCGTTGCGAGATAGAATTAGTTTCTCTGTTTTGAATTGATTTTTGCTAAACGTTTGACATTTTGTGATATTTTTAGAATATTTTTTTGAAGAAATATTTCAGCATTTTGATTTATCTCTTGTGGAAAGAATAAATTTTTTTGTTAACTTTTTAATGTTAACCGTGTTTATTCCAGCCCTTTGTATTCAGTATGTCTATATAAAAACCAAGTGGTAGTAAAATTAAACGAAAAATCGCTGACGAACATAGAATATTCAAGTAAAATGGGAATTAGAATATTTTTGCTGTGAAATAAAAGATAAAATAATCTGCTTGATATGTAATAATACTATTAATATACCAAAGTTATATAATATTAAATGTCATTACGAACAACACAAATCGAAATATAACAATTACGAAGGATTAATGAGAGAAGAAAAGTTGAAAGAGCTCAAGTTAGGAGTGAAAAAGCAACAGTCCGTGTTTAGTAAAGTATTGCAAGAAAGTGAAGCGGCGATACATGCAAGCTACGTCTTGTCCGAGTTGATAGCTAAACATTCGAAGCCTTTTACTGACGGTGATTTCATCAAGGAATGCCTAATGAAAGCTGGAGAAATTGTTTGTCCTGGAAATGTGAAGGCTTTTCAATCAATTTCATTGTCTCGAAATACAGTTGCGGAAAGAGTTACTGATTTAGTTGCGAATTTAAGTGATCAGATCAAAGCAAAATCATCTAGTTTCGAAAGTTTCTCCATTGCCTGTGACGAGAGCACGGACATTAGTGGCAAAGCTCAATTAGCAGTGTTTCTTCGTTCTTGTGACAAGAATTTTAACATTTTTGAGGAAAACTGGAACTAATATTGATGCCTGGTACTACCACAGGAGAAGATATATATTTACTTGTGTTTTTGGACTTCTGCAGAAATACAATCTACCTTTGGCAAAATTAAATTCTGTAGCTACAGATGGCGCTCCATCAATAACCGGGAAAAACAAGGGCTTCGTAGCATTACTAAGAAAAAAACTTAGTGAATTTCACTGTTCAAACATTCATCATATGCATTGTATTATACATCAAGAAGTTCTATGCACAAAAGTAATAAATATGGAGAGTGTTTTATCATATATAAAAAAAAGTTATAAATTTTATAAGATCTCGAGGTTTAAATTAGCGTCAATTCACTGCTTTCTTAAGTGAGTTAGATAGTAAATATTCGTGTTTGTCCTACTATACCGAGGTACTTTGGTTATCTTGCTCCAAGATTCTCAAATAATTCTGGGATTTGAAAGAAGAAATATGTCAGTTTTTAAAAACGAAAAATCAAGACGTAAGTTTGTTTTACGATTCAATATGGATACAAGATTTATCTTTCTTGGTTGATATAACCAAACACTTAACCGATTTAAATTTATCGTTACAAGGAAAAGATCATATCATTACGAACATGTTTGACATAATTAAAGCATTCAAATGTCAACTAGTTCTTTGGGAAAAACAACTTAAAAATGAAGATTTGACGCATTTCCTGACGTGCAGCATGAACAAATGAAGTTTAGATGATACTTGTTCGTATCAGAAATACGCAGAAAAAATTGCAAATTTAACAACTGAATTTGAAACAAGATTTAATGAGCTTAGTTCTCTTGACAAATTTTTTTTTTGTTTTCTTCGATTTTCTCAATAAGTATTGACTCAGTACCCAGCCATATGCAAATGGAGGTGATTGAGATTCAATGCAACTCAAATTTGAAAGCAAAATTCATTGAAGTGGGCATGCCTTAATTTTACAAATATTTACCAGGAAGTTTGAAAATACTCGAAAATTCGCATATGAAATTATTTCCATGTTTGGTAGCACTTATCGGTGCGAGTAGTTATTTTCAGTCATGAAAGGTAATAAATCTCCTATTAGAAACCGCATTAATGATGCTCACCTTGGATCAGCGTTGAAAGTTATCACTGCAAACAAAATTTCTCCCGAAATAGGAAAGATAATAGCAGAGAAGAGATGTCAAGTATCAGGATGTAAACATTAAAATTTTCTTGTTCTTTTCTATATAAATATATATATATATGTTTATTATTGTATTATTCGAAATAAATCTACGTTTCTATGAGTATTGATTTTTTTTTTTTTGCGCCCCGCCTAAAGTTAAACCTTGTTTGTTTGGCCCAAGTGTACCTATGAGTTTGACATCCCTGCTATACACTGTAAAGCATTTCAAAAGTATAAGATATGTTGACTGAAACTCAAACATTTGAAAGCATGAACATCTATACTAATACCATGCTAGGATCTTAGCAAATCTTATAATCTTTCAAAATTTTCATAACCAAGAAGTGCAATATTATTAAAAGTTAGGAAAAAAATTTGTAAATTGATACATACTTTACAAACAGAAAAAATTTATAATTATGAACAGAAAAAAATATCAGTATGCTCTAAGTAGCATTATACCATTGTAAAATAGTAACAATTAACTTTAATGGCTAACCGTAACTTTTTCATAAACTTAATGGCTAGCTGTTATGAGTTGTACGACATACCATATATTAAGATTTATATAGAGATCTGAGGTTTTAATGTAATTATGTGTAAATATTATATCCATCTCTTAAGATCATAGCAACGTTTTATACCTTGTAATTATATAATCAATGAGTAATTACATATTCAATGTGAAGATGTTTAAAACTGATGTAAAGAATATCTGTGAATCACTTTTTGGGCCGGCTTCTGGTATGGGCCTACAGTGCATCCAGTAGTTACAGTAGTGTAGTGGAACAATAGCTGTAAAATCACTGATGAAGTACTGGTGCTTCAGCCACTTTTCTCTGCTCTGTAGTTCAATGTCATATAGCTGGTACATAAATTGAGTAAAGATATTGAGATTCACTTCAGTATTGACATGCGACTGATAATTATCCATGAAATGATGCACCACACTACAGTCTTAATGAGATATATATACATTTTTAAATGAGCAACATGGTGATTCAACCTGACTATATTCATGTATTCTATGAAATCCTCTAGTCTGAAAAAGCAATGTATCCTTTGTCCATATCAAGTAATGCCTAATGTGGTAGGATTTTGAAAGAAAAATTCCTTAAATCATCAGCAGTAACACATTTATTACAGTTCATTGATTGGTGACTCTCATTAACAACTAATACAACATCAGCTTAATTATTTTTTATAATTCTCTGACAAGGGAAATATGCCAGTCTTGTGTTTTGTGACAACCTGTGTAACTATTTTTTTTTTTTCAAGATTGAACAAATTATGTTTAATATACCTCACAGTGCTTTCTCAGATTGCAGGTCACCCTCTTGAATGCAAATCAACAAGGCATCCCACTGTCACAAAATTCTTGACAAGATTTAAAATCATATTTAAATGATAATGAAATATTTAGCAACTGTGAACACCACATCAGTTGGTGCCAGTCAACAGACAAGGAGAATGGAATGAAACTGCTTTTGCCAGAATCCATCCACTACGGCACCACGAGAATATGAATGAAATGGCATATATGTGGAAGCAATCAAATCGCATTTTGTATTCGAATTTCAGCCTAGAAAATGTCCCCTCTCTTAACACTTCTGTTGAATGAAGTCTTAGGGTGAATCATATTGTGTTACAGAATGAGATAAAATACATACTCTGCAGACAATATATTTACAGAAAGTAAATTAAATATCTGAAGCAAATATGCAGTTTTAACCATTTTCTTGAAACTTAATAATTTATATAAAAGAGGTATCAAGCAAATGTATATATTTATCTGGTACCATCACAATAACACCATGAATTAATAAAAAGTATAATTACTTTTTGCAGCATAAAAAATCTTTCTAAATTGAAATAATTACGAAGGCTGATTTTTACCCATTGATGAAATTCAAGCAGCACAAAATATATTTGTAAATTGAAATAATTATGAAAGTTGACTTTTCCCTTAATATTAAGAAACGCTAAGGAAATTTATTCTTATTTCCTGAATCATTATTTCTAAATTGTTATCTTTCATATAAACTGAATCGAAAATTAAAACATACACAATTAACTTACTGCAAGTTTTCATTTTTTGCTCACTGAAGAATTAAATACACAGAAGAAAAGTATGACAGTCTTGTGTGCAATTAATGTTTAAAATTCCTCATATCTTTTTAATCACTGGTAATTTTTACAATAAGATTATCCCATTTCCATGAAAGAGATTTTTTGGAAAAGTCTATGAAATTTTCTTTGAAGCCAGTAAATACTTAAAAAAACATTGGCTAATTTATAAAAAAATTGTTAAACCGTACTTTGAATGCTATAAAGTGATATAATTTGGTTCTATTTACATATTTTTCATATTCTTAGCTATTTAATTTTTTAAATAATGTCAAAATTGATAAAAGTTAAAATTTACATCATATTGAGACATACAGAAGGTATATATAAAAAATAAATTATTGCGACTTCCATCAATATGAAATAAAAATCCCATTTTATAAATTTATGAATACCTTTCTGCAGCTCCAACCATCATATTCTTGACATATACTTATTATTGATGTATTCTGAGATCGTTTTAACCATGTTATTGAAAGAGCATCATTGTCAAGCCACTGAACTTCAGTAAAATAATACTCTCTGTAAAAGAAACTTATAAATTAGCAAACTTTTTTTAAAATAAATATTTTGTGTTCTTTATTTAAAAAATAATATGAAATTCAAATACCATTAAATTTCTTTACAAACACAACTATGAAAGTACCATTTTCTAATATATTTTACAAAAAATTTTCAAATATGCAGGAAAAAAAGTATTAACATACATGTTAATAAAAAGGTTTTCATACAGAAAAAATACGTTAAAAATCTTTAGTGGCACAGAAATAATTACATGAAAGCGATAGGACTCAAAATATTGGTTAAGAATAAAATTCACAACAAATGTACGGGAAGTAATAGGAAACATACGTGAGAAAAGTACCTTTACATGATTTTGATGTAATAATCAAATATTTCATTCTCAAGAGCAAAATATGCTTGGAGATGATAAATGACATAGATGCATGCATTAGAGCACAATTCAACTGAAATATTAATTGAATTCCTTGCAGTCATTTCAAATTATTGATTTATGAAATAACATGTCTAGTTATTATTTAAGGCATTATCCTTAAAGTATTCCAAATAAAGAAATCTGTAAGTGCCACATTAGGAGAGCAGGTCTGACTCAGCGCCGGCGCAAGGTTATCCGGCGCCCGCCTGCAAAATACCTGAAGTCGCCCCCTTTTTCTAAATTTTTGTATAGGAGAAGGAAGTTTTGAAGAAAGCATTTGTTGAAATTGATTTTAATAATTTAATAATTTATTTTTTCTGCATTTCATATTTACAAATTTTTCTATAATTTCTTTTGCATCTAGTTCTTGACAGATTTCATTTTCAATGGCAAATCAAAGCTAAATATATGAGTCTTTCCTGCAATATACTTGAACGTAAATATTGTCTTGATCAATTTTAATTTGGAGAATGATCTTTCGCTACTAGCAACACTAACAGGAATGCTAAGTAGTATTCTCAGTACGATCTTCAAGTTCGGGAAGCACAAATTATTTTGACACAATTAAGTTCAAAATATCGAATGGGTCATTTCAAACTGGCTGTAATAAATGCCTTTTCGAAGCTACTATTTCGTCATAGAGGTTCTTCTGTGCATTAATATCTTTATTGTCATCCACACTGTTAACAATTTTTCTAATTTATCACATTTTATTTTCAAATCTAGCGTTATCGATTTCTGATAAATTACCCAGGAAACTAAAATTATCATAGTGATTTTTCATTGAATCAAATCTTTCGTTTAATGATGTCCAAGCAGTATCCAAAATTGTAAAAAAGACATTTGCCCTAAACTTCTCTTCTGGACATTGAGGAAATTCGTCAGCATGTTCGTAATCGAAGTGAAATTTCTTTTTCCTTCTTCGGACTTCTTCAACAGTTTTAAATTGTAGCTCGCCATCCACTTCTTCACTAAGTTCTTTGGCTTTCTCAAGAATACTTTTGTAATTGATATCGCTTCTATATTCTTACAATGAATGTTTTTAAGTTACCTTATTTGCCTTTAAGGCTAGTGTAACACTCAAACCCTTTTCTTGCCATTGTTTGCTGACAGGATTAATTCTGTTAAGCAAATCGTGCCAAACTATCAAGGAACAAACAAATTTATAATCCTTGATTTTGGTACACAGACTTCGTGCTTCATGTTGCACTTCGTTTGAAAAGCATTCATCTTCGGATATTTCAAAGAGAGCATCATAGATTTCTCCTAGTTGATATCTTAAAGGGTCCTAGTTGATATCAAAGAAGGAATTTTACGTCGGCAGTAATCAAAGAACTATGCAAACTACTCGGCATTGACAAAACTCAAACGACGCCATTGCATCCCCAGTCGGACGGCATGGTAGAGAGGTTCAATCGAACCATCCTTAATAACCTCTCATTAGTGGTTTCCAGAAACCAACAGGACTGGGACAAGAAATTACCACTGTTTTTACTGGCTTACCGCAGTGCTGTTCATGAGACTACCGGCTATTCCCCATCACAGATGCTCTTCGGTCGTGACCTTCGTCTGCCTTGTGATCTCTTGTTTGGTCGTCCTTCGGATGCTCCTTCATCGCCTGAGGAATATATTCAAGATCCCCAGGTCCGGTTTAAAGTGATGCACAACTCTGCACGAGAGCGAGTCAACTTGGCGACGGAGAAGATGAAGACCCGATACGACACAAGAGCTACTGAACATCAATTCCACGATGGAGACAAGGTTTGGTTGTGGAATCCGACTCGACAGAAGGGACTATGTCCGAAATTACAGTCATCTTGGGATGGTCCGTGCACAGTCCTAAACGGGCTAAATGACGTCGTGGTTCGGATCCGTAAGTCTTCGAACTCTAGAACTCTAAACCTAAAGTCGTTCGTTACGACAGGTTAGCTCATTACTATGGCCATAGTACGCAATGTAAACAATTCTAAATAGTGTAAGACCATGGTCCTTTTTGTTTCTAAATGTGTATTTAGTATTTGTTTTGTATTTTGTATTTGATTTGACTTGTATTTAGCCTTTGATTTGTTTAAGTTAGTTATTGCATTTAGTGTTTATGTTGTTTATTGTATTTATGCCACAATTGTAAGTTTGGCTTCCTGTCCAGGGATTGTACTGCCCGGGACGTGCAGTCTTTGGGAAGGAGGCACTGTTACGGATTTGGTATTTAAATAGCTAATGTTAGTTGAATTGTAAATTAAATGGTTTTATTTCCCGCGCAGTGCAGCGCGTGACGAATATTAAAAGAAAGCTAAGTCGGAAAATTGAAAATACAAGAGCGCGTGCATGTAACATTTAATAAATATCTCTTTTTGATTTCGAGAAAGTACTAGGAAATTCTCGCGCGCGATTTTAAAATCATATAAATAGGAGGAAAACCTCTCAATTCGAGAGTTAGTTAGTTTGTTGTTGTTTTCAGAGTTTGTTTAGAAAACTGTTCTTGTTGATTGTAGCAAATTCGCGGATTAGCGTTCTTTAGCTGTTTTGAATTAAGTTCTCTTGAACGTTTGAGTAGTTAAAAGATACTACTGTGATATATTGTGATACTACACGATTATTTGAGGATATTTAATCATATTTGTTGTGACAATAATAAATTTTCTTCATTTTTTATCGGACTTGTGCATTCATTTTGTAATGAACCCGTACGCACGCAGCATTACAATAAAAATAGTTTACCAGTTTATAAAATAAATACACTGACTACCAATAAGTATTTGGACACCTGTGATAGAAAAGAAAAACTAACTTTATTCAAAATCAATAGTGGTAGAGCCTCTACGAGAGGTAATTACAGCGTGGACCCTCCAGGGTATACTTTCCACAAGTATTTGTATGACAGCTAGTATTATTTTCTTCCACTCGGCTTGGAGAAGACATAGAAGTTCCTTCACCGATTTTGCACGAGTAGTGCACCGCGGAATTCGGCGATGCAACTCGTCCCAGAGGTTCTCGATAGGGTTCAGGTCTGGACTCTGGGCAGGCCAGTCCATTTGATGAACTCCATTGGCACCATACCAAGCCTTCGTTAACGTCGAAACATGACAACTGGCATTGTCACCCTGAAAGTAAACAGGGGTCCAACCCGTAAAACTGCCACAACGTAAGAAGCACATTGTCCTCCAAAATAGTGCAGTAGGCATCGGAGTTGAGCTTACCATGAATGGGGACCAAGGGTCCCAGCCCATTCCAGGAGAAACACCCCCAGACCATAATTCCACCTCAGCCGAACTTGACTGTTGTCACAATGCATTCTGGCAGGAGACGTTCTCCAGGTAGACACCAGACCCAGACCCTGCCATCCAAAAGGTAAAGAGTGAACCTTGATTCGTCACTCCAAAGAACCCATTTCCACTGATCTACGGTCCAATTTCGATGTGCTTTTCCCCACATTAACCGAGCAGCACGACCATGAAAACCAAGCAGATGTGCTTCCTTACGGATGGTATTCATTGAAACAATACTCCCGGATGCCTGTTGAAACTCCTCGCGGATGAGGGCTATCGGTTGGGTGTGGTTCTTCCGAATTTCTCTGAACAGCACTCGTCGGTCTCTATCCCACAGTTTCGTTGGTTTGCCGACTCGGGGCACATTCCGACAATCACCGCTCACCTTCCACTTCTTAATCACATTGGCCACTGTCGATATTGGGTACTTCAGATCGCTAGATATGTCCCTTAAGGATTGGCCACATTTGTGATACCCGATAATTATACCTTTCTTGAAATCAGAGAGCTCCGAACCATCTTGCATGCGACTAAAGCCGATGCCGTTTCCTACACGATATATACCGGCGGAGTCCGTGGCGTATCTGGAGACCGCAGATATCATCATTTGCATAGGTGTCCAAATACTTATTGGTAGTCAGTGTATGATCGGTGATGAAAAATATAACAACCTGGCAACTAGGTACCTGCCGTGCTGTACACTTAGTACACCAGTTAGTGTGCTCCTGTTTGCCTTGAGTATCGCTGATTACTTGAACGATGAATGTCTATCGTAGTGTTTAAGGCGTCTTAGGTCAGGTTTCGCTTTTTATCTTGCTTACATTCTTCTGCATGCTTGGACAACTGAAAACTATACATCAGCGTAGGTTTTTAATAACCATGGAATTTAATACTGTGCTATAACTACTATTTCTCTTTAACTATAGGTAGATAAAAATCAATAACCAGGATGAGAAAGAAGGAAACGAAAGGCACATATATTTAAATATGATTGTAGGCAAATGGTAATAAGAATATTACAATTAACTTATGTAGTAATTCTTGAATACTTTGTAAAGTTTTGGGGGGAAGAGGGAAAAAACACACTGGTCCGCGAAATTTTTTCGTAAGTTTTACCGGTCAGCGGACCAAAAAAGGTTGAGAAGCACTTCTCTATAGACTTTTGCGTTTTCGTCCATGCAAATCTTGCCCTCCCTTCCAACTCCCATGAAAATATGAAAAGTTGGTGCCTGTGTTCATTCTTACATATGGCAAAACGGCAAATTTTCCCTGATAGAAAGGGTTAATCCGTTTCTCCCTTCCCACCCAAACAGAAATTT